GATAGACAAAGAGAGACCCCTAGGGTTATATAGGGGTCTAATGCTATAGGTTAGGTCTATAATGGGTTATATAGTGTATATATACTGGGGTTATATTGGGATAATGGAAAAGAAAATGGAAACTCCTGTTGAGGGTTTAAAGTTCAGGGTGTATAGTCGCCCCCAAGTAGATAGAATATGGCTTTGGGTTTATTTTTCTAAGATCCCTATATGCCCCATATTCTATCTACTTAAGGGGGACTATAATCTCTGCAAACTCCAAAAGCCAAGAGTAGTATCCGAAACCATTGCAGTGACACGAAGAAGAAGAAACATAAGTCAAGTAGGCGCAAGCGCATGTCAGTGGCAACTGGTCCAATGCTTGTTTTCCTTGGCAGTTGGCGGCCAACGTGGACCTTTGCATTCGTGCGGCTGCAATGGGGCAGCTCTGGCAGGAGAGCACCATCTAGCTCTAACAGCGGCATCTAGCGTTCAGAGCTTTTTTGGCCTAGTCCTGTTTGGTGCTGGTGGAGGTTTGTGGAAAGGATTCAGGTAATAGCAACATATTCTTGGGAGCGCAGGCTGCATGCCGCCTGGTCGACGGCTTTCTCAAGAGGAGGGTGTCTTGATCCGCATGCTTTGTCGGGCCGTGGTTTTGAACATCCTTGCCTCCACCTGACGGTGAGGTGCTTGGGTCGAACTTGAGCACGTCGGCGCTGAATATGTCCATCGAGTCTACGGCTCAAAAGTATCGCTCAGAGCTCAGAGCGGTCATGGCGGTCTGTGACTTTGAGCCATGGCGCTAGAGAATCATTCTTCGCAGCCTCGGCTGCACTTTGTTTGCGTTTGTCGATTAGTTCTGGAGCCTGAGGCTGGCAGCAGGCCCTTGATCTCTTCGAGACAGCGCGATCGCTGCGGAAGATGGACATCGTGACCCTCAACATTTGCCTGACGGCCGCTGTTCGTGCTTTGGACAGCAGATAATATAGGGGCCTATAGAATTACCAATATTATGGTTCCATATTCCTTATATAGTTATGGTCTATGGTGACTCTTGTCTGCTTTTACCTCAAATGGACCTCAAAATGATATTGGTAATTAATTGCTTAGGCCCCTGTAGTACCCTTACAGTGCGCTCTACGTTGCCTTTCTGCATGGGTACAGTGCCCTGCTGACGTCGCTACTAGCGGCGCTGTAATCTCAACGCTGCCGCCAGCATAACATGTTTTCCTCAAGCGTGGTAGTTTCCATAAACACGGACCTCAATGTAGATCCACAATTTTGTAATCCTTGTTTTGGGGACCTCTAAAAACGTGCCCCTAGTTTCGGGAACCCCTAATCCCTGTAAACCCTCATATGATCTCAGTTTCAATTATTTTTGATCTTCTTGTTCCATCGATTCTCCATTACTGGGGCACCTATACGAGCCCATATATCACCCCTATAACATCCATATAATGTCGCCTTGTAACACTCTTAAAACTTTTAACCCTGTACATCCTGTGAAATCTCAAAGTAGGGACGACAGCTTGCCTTCCTCTAGGCGCAGAGCGCTGGCAGCAGGCGCTGGCGCTGCTCGCAGAGGCGCCACGCTCCTTGGTTTGCTCATTGGAGTGAAGATGTGGGGATGTATGGGGATATATGGGATTATGTAGGGAGACCTCCATAATGTGGTTCATGTAGACATGAAGCTGCAACTGTGGCAGCGACCACTGAACCCTGAGAGCAGGAGAGGAAGGACTGGACTGGATGAGCAGGCAGACTAGCAAGCTCAATAGCAGAATCAGAACGGCAGCAGCTATGACCATCAACGACAGTAGCCGTAACAGCAGATTGAAGGGGCAGAAGGCGGCCAACAGCCATGAGCCACAGCAGACAACAAGAATCGCAGCAGCACAGAATGGAATGACAACAAGGTCCTGCACTCCTATTTGCAGATCTCAGGCTGGGGACTTCAGCTGACGAGTGCCTCTCTGGGCGCTGGTCTGGATGCCGCGCAGCGTGGCTCTGCCTGGCAGCTGGCATTGTGGCTGAGGGCGCAGGCTTGGCCGATCTATTCAGGGCCGTCTAGGAGTTTTTAGGGGTTGGGGTTTCAAGTGCTCGGGTGTTTAGGCTTTGAATTTCAAGGGGCTTTGAAAAAAGCGCCAAACCTTGAGTTCCCCGTGGTGGCATTCCTAATGGTCCTAACGCCTGCTCCTGAGAACCTGGGTGGGGCCGCGAATGCTGTGGCCGTCAATGCGGCCGTGGGAGCAGCTGCCGGCGCTTCGCGCTGGGAGGCAGGAATGCTTTAGAAGCATAATGGTAACAAATGGGAATGATAGGAATTATAGTAGTACTAGGGAAACAGGAATAAGAGTAGTAATAGTACGTAATAATAGTGATAATAGTGATAATAGTAAGAAATGTACTGCTTGTAATATTGTTGTGGATGTAGGAAATCGCACACCTCCTTACGGACCCTTTGCCTTGGAAATTGCCGTATAATGGAAGACCCAAGGCCTGGAAGTTTCTTACCAGCCGCCGTAGCAAGCCCTGCTTTGATGACAGCAGATCTGGTATTGCTTGCTCCTTTGAGAGTTTAGGACCGACGATCTGGAGGATTCTAGGTTCAAGTCGTGATCCTTCAGAAGCATGGTATGCTTTGAGTCTGGATCCCTAAATTACTAAACATCCTGAACCCCGTAAGCAGACGGAAGGTTTGGTGAAGACCCATGCTCCACTAGCTTCGCTCTCCTGCTTTGCCCACAGATTGCGTTGGAGTTGCTGCAAGATCATCACCTTCTCAACGCTCGCTGGCGCCTAAGCGTATGTAGGGTTTGGGTTCTCCAAAAAATGTGGCCACTTCTGGGATCAAGGTCGGAGTACGCAGATTGAGTAGTCTGTAAGGAGAGCATGCAAAATTGATCGCTGCGCATCTTCCTGTGTTGCGCAAAAATGGGCTTCAGAATCACCAGTATCATGATACAGGTTAGGATTTTAATTATGACCATAATAGGGATATAAACCCAAGAAATCAAAGAGCACTTACCCTCCTAGGGCTCCTTTTAAAGTGCTCTTTGATTCTGTTTACCCTAGGTCAAAATCCTAACCTGTCATAATACGAATAATTCAGCGTGCCTCAAAGTCCTGGATGGGTCTTCCAGGGCCCGATGTGGTCACTTGCACCGTGGCCATCGGAGCCTGCAGCTCGGCAACGCGCTGGGCAGGAGCCCTTCGGCTTTTCCGAGAGTCCGGCCCTCAGAAGGCTTTTCAGGTGTTCATACACTTGATATACATATACAAAGCATATACAAACACATATATCTCCATGTGTCACCCATATATCCCTATAATCCAAAACAGAGTCCATGGAGGGCATTTTTCCTGGTATCAAACCACCGCAGGAAGCTGAAGCAACTAGGATTTTAGGTCTCGAGTGAGGGGCGAGGTAGGCGTTGTTTGTTATGCTTTCATGCCCCCCCCCCTCCCCCCCCCTTCTGCAACAAGGTAGTACCCTGAGTCAGAGGAAAGCAGATTGCACAACATACTAGAGGATGTCCTGCAGGTTCACAGCCAGAGGTGTTCAACCTGACGTGGTCACACTCCAGCGTATCCAGTTTTCTTGCGATGCGTGGTCCTCAGGTGCCCATGGAGTGTTGAGACAGAACTTGTCCACAAGTCTTGAAACTGCTTGGTTGTGGCTGCTAGCGGTGCTGGTCGGTCATGCCTGGGGCCGACGCAGCTGTGCAGTTAGGTCGTGATGACAAATTTGGGCGCAGTCCGGTCCTGGAAGAGGACTTTGAAGCGAGACCTAGGGAGGCGAGGTGCGCTGAGCAAGTGAGAGCTGAGGGCTTGCTACATCCCGATGTTTGATGCCTGTCATGCTGCAGGCTGCTGTCTGCCAAAGATGACTGGGCAGAACGACGCAAGCGCGGTGCGAGTTTTGCAGTGCCTCTTTGCAAACATCAGCCACGACTTTCACAAGCCCACAAGCCTCACCTGAAATTTTACATGACAGCGCGGAGTCAAGAGTAGCGTGGCGTAGAACAGCCTGTACAGTATTGTAGGGTCTGTAGAGAGGTGCAGAGCAGAGCCACTGCCTCTGAGGTGGCAGCCGCTGAACCCCTTTGGCAACGCGACGTCCTTTCTCGCGAGGAAATCTGGATTGCCTTTCGGATTTGCCATTGCCTCTGCATCTCAATGCACCATGAGGAAGAGCGGCAGCTCACTCGCTACCTCCAGCGACCGGTGATGGGCATGCTGCAGAGGCGTGACGCTCTTGTTTTGCGGCTTTTGCACATTTGGCTGCACTTCCGCCTGCCGAAACACATGTTAAATCATGTTCGCCTCGCAGCACAATGCATTGATGCCGGCTGCATGCTCGCACTCAACGTCTTGCAGGCTTCATTCCTGTTGGGTGTCAACACGACTACTCAAGGCTTTCGCTAAGACTAGGAACCACATTGTAAGTTGACCCATGCTGTTCAGGGTTGAGCTTCAACAGCGGGCAGCCAAAACTAACGAGCTTTACAACCATAATATCAACCATTGCTCGCCTCATTACAGACAGCAAGCTAAACTTCTTTAGGGACTTGCACCTTGGCCTGGGTTTGCTGGGAAGGTTCTGTGCTTCAAACCTTAGCCCCGGATCAGGCTGCGGGAACCACCACAGGAAAAAGCAGGGCAAAGTTGGACAAGGCGGACTCAGCTCTTGTGTGATGTCTGATGGCTCGCCTTTTGCCTGAAGCCCGATTGCTTCACTGCGAGATCTTCTTGCGAGGCACCTACAAATCAGAGATGTGATCCTGGAGTCGCAGTCGACACTGGGCAACCCTTTGACGGCCGAAACTGTGCGAGAGCTGAAGATGGCCTACCCAAAATCCAGGGCGACGACAAAAAGAGTGCACGTGCTGTCGCACCGCGTCTGGCTGGCCTTGGTGTGTAGACTTACCAACATCACAACGACGGTTACCGCTATAAGTAGTGCTCATACCGGTACTAGTACTAGAAAGTAGTACCTGTACCAGTGCCATGACTAGTACTAGTACCAGCAGAAGAAACAGTAGGAGGAGGAGGAGTAGTAGTAGCAGCACCATGTGGTGCCATGTAGTACAACTTTCGGATGCGACAAGCATCACTGCAATCCATGGCGGCGCTGCATTCGCACAGCCGAGGCTTGGCCCCAACAACACTTCCGATTGCCAGCGAGGTGCTGAGGCGCTTGGCAAAGAAATTCCATGGAAACATACGAGCCATAACCTCGCCTCCTTCAAGGGGGGTTACATGGGAGATTATTTAGGGGTGTGCTGTAAGGGGTATTAAGCAGGATACTACGAGGTTAGACTATTGCTCATTTATGTCACACAACAAAGTCACAATAAGAGCAGTAGTGATCATGTCCATAGACTACTGATGATGTGTAGAGCCTACAGATCTCATCATGCTCCCAGTGGAAGCTCGTGTTTGAACTTTATGCCACTATTGTCATAGCTCTTCACGTACCAAACTCTTCTTGTCACGTCTCGTTGGTATCGCTATCCAAACCACACCCACTGTTCCTGTGTTCCTCCTGCTGCTGTTGCTGCCACTACCAGAGGAGTACTATGCTCTCACCATGCTGCCAGACCTTTGACTGCTTACTGGTAGTTAGTAGGGAATGGAGAAATGGATCCATGTGCAATGCCACTAATCCCGCTATAGCAGCACCCGTTCTTTTATTCCTATCAACCCCAAGCAATACTGTTGGGCAGGGCAATGCTGTTGACCATCAAAGCTGGAGATTGGTATGAGCGTCTGATACCCAGACTCTCCGAGGTGCAGCGATACCTGGAATTTTCTGGTGATTCGGGGTCCCTTTACTTACTGGTTCTTAGTAGGGGAATGCAATCCAGATATAAATCTATTCCCAAATTCCCTACCAGGAAGCAGTAAGTTTAAGGGGTCCCCAAACAACACGTTTTCTGATATTGCGGGAGGGGTGCAAGGCTCCCCTTTGCCTTGACGAGAAGCAAGGATGACCACATCTACTCCACTTGGGGTAGTTGCCAAGAAATAGATCCATTGGTCATGACATGAGCTATAACCTAAACTCCTTACAGGGGAGTGTATAAGGGAGTATCTAGGGGACTAGTGTAGGGGAAGGGGCATACTAGGAGTTTAGACTATATCTCACATTATAAGAACCAAAGCATGCGTAGAGGACCGATGAGGAAAAGGCTCATGATTCCGATTGCGTTCCTGCCAAAATTGAGCAAGGAAGCCAGGCTATAAGCAAGAGTACGCTGAACAAGTGGACCTCAGCTTTGCGTAAATGTTATACTATCCTTCTCATGAAGGAAGACGCTGAAGGGGATGCTCCCTGTGCGTAAAATCCGGCTTCTACAGCACTGAACTTGATGGTGCGCAACGGAGTGCGGGAGAGAATGAAGGTTTCGGGATCCACTCCCCCGCTCCCAACCCTAAACTCCAAATCCTAAACCCTAAGTGCTAACTAACATCTAGCACTTTCCATTGTCTGTGCCCCTGGGTAGTTTCCCTAGATCCGGGTAATCAACAGAGCCCCCACCAAATACTATAATGCTTACTAGCGGGACCCCCAAAGTGGTACCCCTAATTTTGCGAAACCCCCATTTGAAAGCACCAGCAAGTGGAACTTCAATGGAGGCTCGCTGTGGCGTGGAGCCCTGGCACTCTTCGCTTCCCTCTGTGACGAAGGAATCTGGGTCACTGCTACTTACTGGTGCTTAAGGGGGAGTGAATACAAGTACTCTTATAGGGGTATATTTGGGGACCATGTAGGGATTGTTACAAGGATCCACTCCCCGACTCCCCCTTGAGCACCAGCAAGGTTACGTACATGAGCACTTCTAACAGGAAGAGGGCCCTGTTTATCCGAGAGCTGTATGATCCTTATGAAAAGGACCCGCCCAAGGGACTGCTGATTTTCGGCTTGAAGGTCTTGTTCATGTGACTGAGTATAATTCTTTGCATCTTTCTACTTTGAATTGCGTTTTGGTAGTGTTTGAGATACCTCTGTTTTTTGGAAGAGCCCGGATGATGTTCCAGGAATGGAGCCCAACGTTGAACAGGTGTCCCTGCCTCAGACTCTCGTGTCGTGGGCTTCGAGGCTTCATGGTTTAGTTCGGCCGTGACGGAGGGGGGTTTCCCAAACTTAGAGGTATCTTTTGGACCCCTATAATGCAAATTTTCGTATTTTGGGGTCTATATTGGAGTTCCCCTATTTATGGAAACTAATTACTGGGTTGGTACTGCATGCACCCGAAGATTACTCTGATATACTCTAAGCATTTTTGGCCCGCGTGATCCCATGCCCTGGTCCACGTTGATGTCTCGTCCTGCCAGACAGACCATGCTCTTCTTTCGGTCATTTTCCAGTATCCCTATATAGCCCCAATATATACCCAATCATGATATAGTAGTTTCCATCTTGTTTTCCACTACCCTATATAACCCCAATGTATACCCCATTATGATATAGTAGTTTCCATTTCATTTTCCACTATCCCACTATATACCCCATTATAATGGGCTAAACGGTGTTGGCATGTACCTACCCTAAACCCTGGGAAGCACCGCCTGACTCAGGAACTACATTGTGGAGATATGCAAGGCGCACTCTTTGTCCCGCAAGCACGGTTGCGGATGGTTGCGGAATTCCCTGAATGTCCTGCTCTGACAGTTTCGCCACACGGGGATATCTGAGAAAATGCAGCCCTTGAGGAGCCTCATATAGGAGGTACACGACCTGATGAGAGGGTTATATGGGTTCTCATCAGGCACAAAAAGGGGATC